TTTTCTTTTCTTTTTTTCCTTCTTTTGTTTTTGTGGAACTGGGGATTGAACTCACTCAGGCCCTTGCACTTGCCAGGCAAGTGCTTATTCTACTGAGCTATCTCCCCAGCCCCAGATGCATTGGAATATTGGAGTATTTCATGATACTGAAGACAGCAAGGCTGTTCCAGCACCTTCTCTGTACCTACATCTTGCTTTGCTAAGGTGATTGGTCACTCCTGGTTACATGTGGCAAGAGCCACTGCCCTCAGTCTGCCTCGATCATTGCACTCGATGATGTTAGCCACTGTGCAGAAATTGGGTCTCCACCCTGCTGCGGAAGACCCAGGGAAGGCACTGACTGACCATCCTGGGTGAGGGGGTTTGCCTGGGGTTTGCTTTAGAAGCCAAGGAGAAGAGGGTGTGGTTGTGGGCTTGTGTTTGAAGGGCTGAACATTGAAAGGCTTAACATATACTAAGGGTCAGGCCAGTGAGATAGCTCAGTGGACTAAGTGCCTGTTTAGGCAATCACAGGGACCAGGATTACTTAGGCAAGTGCAGGGACCAGGATTCAATCCCTGATACTGCATGCTGCGTCAGCCCTGCCCCTGGGGTCACTGAGCCAGCTACCGAGTCTGGGCATGGTGGCACACCCCTGTAATCCCAATGCTAGAGAGGCTGAAAACAGCAGGATCACTATGAGTCCAAGCTGCATAGTGAGACCCTTTCCCAAATACATGAAAAAAAATTATATATATATATATATATATATATATATATATATATATTCAATACTACTGGCTTTTTATCTTCTGTCTTTTTGAGACAGAGCCTTGCTACGCAGTTCGGGCTGGCCTTGGGCTCACTTTGTAGCCCAGATGGTCTGGAACTATCGTCCTGCCTCAGCCTCCTGAGTGCTGGGATTACAGGCATGCACCATCATGCCCAGCTTATCATTTTTGTCATGTGATAGTGATGTTGTTGAAATGTCTTCTTAGCTACTATGCCCTATCTTTGTTAACTGCAACAGATGTTTTCATACCATTGCAATTTTAAATAACTTGAATGAAAATGATTAAAACTGTAATATTCACAATTGCATAAATTTAAGTGTTAACATTTCTTGTGATCCCAAAGGGCCAGTATAGAATGGAAGTGTACAGTAGCTGTCAGTACCGCAGCCGCTAGCCATGTGTTGCTATGTGAATATTTGTGTGCTGTTGTAAAAT